GTTTAAGATGTACGAGAAGAGTACTTTAAATCTGTGATGATTGATTGCCTGCAGGGTTGTGACCTTTCCTAGTTATGTAACGAGGGCCTTGTTTGTTAAACAGTATTACACTACCTGCTAAACCACCTTCGTTCTCTGCTGTCCTCTGTTTGTGGTGACCTGGGAAAGAAGTAAACCAGCCTTATTATACAGGTAGTTTGTAACAATAGACAGACTTTTACGTGAAGATAAGATAGATCAGCTTTTATTACTAAAGGACAGCTAATGTGCTTGGTTGCACCAGCATTAACTTAAAAGATGACATCTCTCTATATAAAACCCTCATATGAAAGTAGACCAAATGGTGGAACAACCAAACAACTGAACAACTGAATAATCGGTTGCTAAGATGTGCGCTGACCACCAGGGGGTACGCATAGAACATGGTGAGCATTGGCAGCAGGCGGCAGAGCACAGAACATGGCGGGTGTCGGCCTCGGCGGGGTGGTGGAGCAGGTGAGCTGGAGCGCCAGACCAAGGTGGAGTGCCGGGTGCTGTCATCGGGGCGAGCCTCTGGTGGTTACTGAAAATTCTTTGCTCTCTTGTGTCGCGGTCCCACATAGCGCTTGCACCTGCTGCTGGTCCCGTGTGCACCTGCAGCCGGTGCTGGAGCTACCACTCGTACCCACTGCCAGTGCCCAGCTCTGGTCCCGATCACTCGACACCGTCAGTGGGTGCCAGTGGTGGCTGCTGGCCCCGATCGTCCCTGAGGGCTTCTCCACCTTCTCCTGCTCCTGAGGGGTGATCGGGGCAGCATCAGCTGCTTGCACCTGCTGACAGCGTCAGCCCTGCTTGCACCCGCTGTTGGCCCCAGCCCAAATCACTCCACCCCGGCAAATGGGGGACCAAGGGGTCGTGATGGGAGGGGCCAGATGGGGGCATGTGCCTACCACAGCCTCACAGCCTACAGTTCCTTTCAAGGTGCATGAATTCATGTGGTGGGCCCTTAGTGTACAATAAAAAATGTAACCTAAAAACGTAAAATGTATCCTTTTGAAAATACTATAGTACTTTTGGTTGTTATGGAACACAGTTAACCTTAAGTCAATAAGTAATTGCCAAAAAAAAAAATTGAAATAGATGTTTTAATTTAGAACTGGGTTGTTGAATGGGATACAAAATTTTAACAGAAACATGAGCAGTTTTATCTTGTAAAAAGTTTTCTTCTTCAGGGAAAATCCTGCTTTCCCATGAGAAGCTACTTCCTGATAAATGGAATTCTGTTGTCTCTGAAAATCTTTTTTTGAAAACACCATATTGATGTATCTAATTTAATAAAATATAAAGGTGAATGGTAAATACTACTAGGTTTGCTCTTTGATAAATAATTTATAAAACTGAAAATCAGGTGGCCTGACTAGTTTTTCATTTTTTTGGTGTTTTATTTTATTTTATATTATTTTATTTATTTGTTTTAAAATATTTTATTGATTTTTTTTTTACAGAGAGTAAGGGAGAGGGATAGAGAGTTAGAAACATTGATGAGAGAAACATCCATCAGCTACTTCCGGCACACCCCCTACTGGGGATGTGCTTGCAACCAAGGTACTTGCCCTTTACTGGAATCGAACCTAGGACCCTTGAGTCCGTAAGCTGACAGACACTCTATCCACTGAGCCAAACCGGTTAGGGCTGGTGTTGGATTTTAAGGGACCAGTGAAGCCATTTAAATGCAAACATCTTTTAAATTTTTCTTGTAATATTAATGAAGCACAGGGTTTGTGATCCACTTATGATTTGAAACTAATGTTGTCACTTGTGCTGAGATCAGCTGAGAGGCCCTTGAGGAAATGCATGTAGAGTAGAGAAGAAGTAGAGAACAAAGTCACAAAGCCGCCCAGTGTGTACCTTTGCACTGTATCCCTTTGGGAAGAGTGAAACTGTCGCAGCACAGCTCACCTGTCACCTGGAAACCTCAAGGGTAACCTCTGATGGGGCTTAAAAAGTGAAGGGTTCATTTATAGTTTGAGTAGGAAATGGTCACTTATATTTTTTGTTTTCGGTCTTTACAATAATCAATATTTAAAAAGAAATCTGTATTTACTGTATATATATATAGATCCTACACATTTTAATGTGGTTTTTTTTTGGCACTCAATTATCTACTGCTTTTGGCATTATGATAGTGGGGAAGAGAGAGTTTTAGATCTGTTTTAGGCATTCACTTTGACTCATTTGTAGAGGCAAATACGATAGACTATTCAATATTAAGTAATTTCTTTTATCTTTTCCCATGTGGAGTGGCCATTGTCTGCCACTCTGAGAAATAATGGAGAGGTTGCTCTCTTTCCATCCACTTGATTAATGTAATCAATCATTTTTATGTTAGTATGAACTGTAGTGAATAATGATGGAACTCTGACTCGTTTTTCATTGACAAAATAGAATTGGTGTTATGGTATATAGTAAGACATGCCATGGCTTAGGTAGAAGAAACCTTATTTACTTATGCTGTTTTGATGTTATAAGATGGTAATTTTGACTAAATCATTTAAAATTAGTAGTTCTCAATTTCTGGTTTGGAAATGAGTGTGTTGAACTAAATGATCTCCAAGCATTCTAGTTCTTATGTGAACATATCTCATGTAAACCAGCATCATGCAGGATTTTTGTAAATACTCTGAGTAGTATATGTGTTCATATTTGTGTTTACTTTAAACTTTTTTTTAACTTGAGTGTGTGTATGTGTGTGTGTATTTCCTGCTTATTCAGGCTTTTTTTTTGTTTTTACACAATGGTAGGTTTATTAACACTATGAGTTAACTTAGAATTTTAAACTCAACTCTTTAAAGTCAACATTTTACAGTCATTTTTAAGAGATTTGGTTTTTAAAAAATGGCTTAAGATCCTCTTAACTTAAATTGCATTTATAAATTTTAGTATTAATTTTTAAGTACTTAACCTATCTTACAAATATTTCAAAGTACTTAACTCTTTTAAATCTGATATTTATGGATTTTGTAAATTTTAAATATATTTTTCAGCTTAAAATTATGTCTAAATCAGTTACTCAATGATGTTTTTAATTGGAATCAGTTTTATTTTTTTTTAATTGTTTAAGTATATTTTAAAATAAAACATACTTGGGTTTTACATGTCTCCCATGTCTTAAACTGGTTTTACAGTCACAGTTCTTAGGATTCAAATGACAGTTTTAACTTGTAATTTTCTAGAACACAAGGAATGTTTATATCTTTAAAAAATTTACAGACAGCACGTAAGCAGAGATTATATATATTTGTATCACAACCCTGTCTTACTCATGTATTATATAATGTCATACCTTAACTCTCCAGTTGTATATTATAAGCTCTTTGGCATGGACTTCATGCCAGAACTGTCCAATGGAAATGTACTCTGAATCACATATGCAATTAAAATTTTTCTAGTAGCCACATTAAAAATAAGGAAAAACAGATACAATTAATTGTAATCATATTTTATTTAACACAGTACTATAAATATATATTGAGATTTTTTACACTTTTTAAAAATATACATATACTAGAGGCCCGGTGCACAAAATTCACGCACAGGGGTGCAGTATGTGTGGGGGGTGTCCCTCAGCCTGGTCTTGGCCTGCAAAGGCGCCAGCATCCCTCACCTGGTCTCTAGTCAGAGGTTCCTCTCCTCCTTCCACACAGCCTCTGGGAAGATGCTTGTCCTAGGGCCTCCCAGGGCCCCGGCCCATGATGCCCTGCAGCTCGGGTATGCGGGTGCTTGGGTTTTCAGGCTTCCTTGCCTGGCTGTGCATCAGTTGCCATGGGAGCCTTGCCTCAGGAGTCGCTCCCTTGGACCATACTACTTGCGAGCGTGTGTGGTGGCGGCCTCAGCAGCAGTGGTTTGATGTCTAAATGTACCTGCTGGTCCTGTCTGGACTGCTGGCGGGGGGCTTCCAGTCTGCGACTGGGGCTGCTGGGCTGCTACTGGGGGCTGCAGGTGGAGGACCCTGGCACCCACAGGCTCCTTCCCTCCCGCCGCGTGGCCTGCTGGGGCACGAACTCTGGGCTCACAGCCCCAGAGGTCCCTTCCCTCTCACAGCACAGCCATGGCTCAGAAGCTCAGCAGCTGGCGATGCGAGCTCAGTGTCCTGCTCCCAGTTCTCTGGCCAGAGAAGCCTCCCCCTCTCTGTGGCCAAGGAGCAGATGATGGCTCCTGTTGCCTGGGCGATGCCTGCAGTGTCTGCTATGGGTGCCGCCATTTTTGTCGCGGAGTGATGGCTAATTTACATATTACTCTTATATAGGATATTGATTTCAGAGAGGAAAGAAGAGGGAGAGAGCCAAAACTGGTTTGGCTCAGTGGATTGAGTGTCCACCTGCGGACTGAAAGGTCTCAGGTTCGATTCCGGTCAAGGGCATATACCTTGGTTGCGGGCACATCCTCAGAAGGGGGTGTGCAAGAGGCAGCTGATCGATGATTCTCTCTCATCTATGTTTCTGGCTCTCTATTCCTCCCTCTTCCTCTCTGTAAAAAAGTCAATAAAATATATTAAAAAAAAAAAAAAAAGAAGAGGGAGAGAGATAGAAACATCAATGATGAGAGAATCATTGATTGGCTGCCTCTTGCACGCCCCTTACTGGGGATAGAGCCCACAACCCAGGCATGTGCCCTTGGCTGGAATCAAACCTGGGACCCTTCAGCCTTTAAGCTGATGCTCTATCTATTGAGCCAAACCAGTTAGGGCTATACTTTTTTCTTTCATAGTCTTCAAAATCCCATGATAGTTTATTTACAGTACACAATTCAGTCATACTAACCACATTTCAAGTGCTCAATAGCCTCATGTATCTAGTGGCTACTATATTGGGCATGCCATCTTTTACTTTTAAAACTAAGTAATATAACATAATTGATGCTGTGTGTGACTGTGTATGTTTATTCTTGGTTATATATTTGTCTAATTGAATTAAATATAAGATATTTAAAAATGCACATCTTTATTTTTTTTCCTTTCAAAGGCCCTTCCTTCTTCCATGATTATAGTAGCAGTTTATTGTCCTGTGATAGCTGCTGTTTTCATTGTTCTGAAGATGGTCAACTATCGACTCCACAGAGCACTGGATGCTGGAGAAGTTGTAGATAGAAATGCAAATGAGTTCAAAGATCAGCGAGCCAAAACTGAGCAAGGCAACTGTTCAACTAGGAGAAAAGACAGCAATGGACCGAGGTAGGATCCCCATGTCACTCAGTTTGTAATGATGTAGATCCGCATGAGTACAGTGATGTGATTATTGTATTGTGCCTGTTCTGTTACGTGGTTTTAAGGTAGTCATAGATCTTACCACTATAGATACAATGACAAGTACAGATGGTCACAGTAGTAAATCACAGTGAAGCTAACTGACATATTTGGGCTTTAAATCAATATCCTTGGCTTTCCTGCTAAATTACATGCTGGAACCATAATAATTATAATTGTATAATAATTATTCACACCAAAGACCAAAAACAATGAAAAACAGTCCAAAGAAATAATAAAGTTAAAGCTTGACTTACAAATCTTAGCATTTACATATTAGTTATACATATAAATAGAATGTATGCCTCTCTTAAGCAAATTGTAATATTTTGCTTGGCATTTATAATTGCATTTTTTCACTTAGTCTATTATAAATATTTTTAAATTTTATATTCACACCTTAGAAACTTAGCTGTTCCTTCTCTAGAAGGAACCCTAAGAAGTCAGTTATTCATGTAAGTTCATTCAATCTTCAAAACAATTGTATGAGATAGATGTGATAATCCCTTTCAAATGTGAAAACTAAGGTGAGGAAGATCAAATAATCCAGAGAGTCAGATCTGGAGTTCATGCTTTTAACCACCATGCCATGTTTCTCCATTCATTATAATATGCATTATTTCAGGTATCAAGATATAAATGCTGTAACACAGATAATGTTTATGTATGTGTTTGAGTACACTAAAGCCTTTGTTTATCCCTTTTAATTACATTTCCTCCATCACTCACATGATTACCCTGTTTGTTTGTTTAATAAATTATTTACCCTTAAAATAACTATGTATAAACTATTACATTCTCAGGCTCTAAAATAGTGACACTGATGGGTACTCAGGAAATACTTGAAATAGTTTTTTATGTACTTCTATTTTTGACTTCATAGTATTCCATTTTATGGGTACACCATATTTCCTATCTTGTTTTTAGTTATTTCAGTTATTTTCACATTCAAATATTGATCAATATGATGTTGAGATTTTAAATGATTAAATTTTTAATCATAATTTAGCTGAGGTAGGTTTATTAGAAAATATACCTATTTTTAAGGTTTTCCATATATATTGCCAGATCCCAAAGATTTTACCTTTTAATTACAATAACCAGCAGTTAATGATGCTAATAATCAACAAATTAGTTCATGAAATTTTCTTTATAATTCAGATTAGACTCTATCCTTTTTCTTTTCTTCCTTGCCCTGTACCTGGTTTATATTTTTTAACATAAGAAGAAATTAAGACATAAAGGTCATATTTGATGTATTGCTTACTACAATTGACCATTTTGCTTCTGTGAGAATTTTAAACTACTATGCTTTTCAGGTATGTGCTAAAACTCTCGATTGCTGAAAATCGGCAAGTCTTGCCAATAAAGAAAATTCTTACTCAGCTGTCTTATATGTTTAGCTATATTTAGTATACCTATGGCTGGCTAAGAATTCTGCTTTTAAATTTATAGAGAAGAGAGAGGTATAATAATTTTGCTAGAGGATTTTTTTTTTAAAGGAGTCATCAATTGTTTTCTTAATCTTTTTTGTTTCCTTAATACCTTCTTCTCATTCAATGTTGGCCACTGAGCTTTAGTTCTAGATCATTGTTTCTCAACCAGGGGTGATTTACCCCCTAAGAGACATTTGGCATTATTTGAAGACATTTTTGCTCATTACAACTAGGGGGAGTGCTACTGGCATCTAGTTTGTAGAGGTCAGGGATGCTGCTATGCACAGGATGGTCCCCACAATCAAGAATTATGTGGCCCCAAATGTCAACATCGCTGAGGTTAAGAAACTTGCCAGATGATGGTCTTTATTTTGGTTTTGAGATGGAAAGAGAACTTCGGTATCTATTTGTTGGAAGGCAGTAATGGTGTCTTAGACTGTGAGCTTTAAAGTTGTGCAGACCTGGTGTTCAAATCTTTTCTCAGTCTTTACTGTTTTGAGTGCCTACATTTAGGTGTGTGGGGAAAAAACAAAAAACAGATATAACACATTGTGGAGTGCTGTGTAAATGTTATTTTTATCCTCCCTTCCCACTTGAACTCCACATACCAGTTATGTTGTTTGCTCCTCTGAGACGCTAGCCAAGTTTTTTCACCCTCTGGTTTTTAGTTTTTTCATCTGTTAAATCATAGGTTTTAAGAGAATACTTCATGAGAAAATGCGAATAGAGCACATGACTGGAATGTACTACTTAGTAAATATTTGCTTTTTTAAAATTAATAATATTACATTCAGAATATAATCATTTGGACTTATTGTCAAAAATAATGTATAAAACCAGGCAAGATTGCCCTGGCTCATGTGGCTCATTGCACCCAAAAGTCTCCAGCTCCATTCCTGCCCAAGGCACCTGCCCAGGTTTTGGGATATGCAGGAGGCAGCCAATAGATGTTTCTCTCTCTGTCTCTCTCCCCTCTCTCCCTTCCTCTCTTTCTAAAATCAATAAAAAACAACAACCTTAAATAAACAACAAAAATCTAGGCAAGATTATCTATCAACTGATGACTAATTAAGCAAAAAGTATTTATTCATTAAATGAAATATTATTAGGCCATAAAAAGGTATAAAATGCTGATACTTGCTACAATATGGGTGAGCCTGGAAAACATGCTAAGTGAAAGAAGCCAGTCACAAGTGACCACATAATATATGATTCCATTGATATGAAATATACATAATAGGCATCTATAGTGACAGAAAGTAGATTAGTGCTACTTAGGCCTTGGCAGGATGGGAATGGGGAAGGTGGTAAAAGCTAAAGGGGTTTGTTTTGGAGGAAAAAAATATTTTAACATTAACTGTGGTGATGGTTGCACAACTTTAGAAATATACTAAAAGCTGTTGAATTGCAGAGTTTAAATGGATGATCTGTAATTTATGTATCAATAAAGTTGACGTATATAAACTAGGCAAGATGAGGGCTCTCTATCCTTTCTCTGGTGTTGTATATTTTTTCCTTAGTCTTTACCTTGCCCTCCATCTTCTGATTTTCATGGAATCTGACTTAGAGAATATATTCCAGTGGAGATAGAGTAATGTTGCTGGGTATTACTCATCACTAGTTCAGTATGGTAATAGCTGTCTCTGTATACTCACTAAAGGTCTTACCAAATTAGAAAAATATTCCTCATCCTGGCCTGTATGTCTTGTGTAAGTTAACACCAAACAACTAACGAACTCGAGCACGTTCCTCTTTTCTCACACATGGACATTTGTGTGCTGAATTGGTCATCAGATTTGTAACGGATTTCCAATATGCTTTATTTTATTTATTTATTTTTCTTAAAATATATTTTATTGATTTTGTACAGAGAGGAAGGGAGTGAGAGAGAGAGAAACATCGATGAGAGAGAGTCATCGATCAGCTGCCTCTTTCACACCTCCTATTGGGGATATGCCCGCAACCAAGGTACATGCCCTTGACCGGAATCGAACCTGGGTCCCTTCAGTCCCCAAACCGACGCTCTATCCATTGAGCCAAACCAGTTTCGGCCAATATGCTTTATTTTTATAAATGGATAGCAAGTTAGAAAGCTGATTCTCCTCACTGAATATTACCTCACTATAGTTGATAGCCTAGAGTTAGGAACCTCTAAGATAATAGGAAACTGATAGTTATGAAATTATTAGGAAAAACACTAAATATGATATTGTGATAAATGCTTAAGTGCAAGTAATACTTACAAGCAAATTCTATTTTGTCCATATCTTTTGATGGCAGCTGTCAGAATACCCCACGCAAACAGGCTAAAGAAATTATGGCTCACATTACTGAAAAATCTATATGTAAAGGATGTCTTCAAATGTGTGATTTCAGGGGGCGGTTTTAAACAATCACTTTGTGGTCCTGTTCCCTTCACCAGGCTGTGACCTTTTCTTCTCATTGGCTGTGACCTTTACTTCTCATTGGCTTTTTAGACATGCTCTCCCCTTGTAGTTGTAAAAAAGAAAAAGCAGCTACATTAAGACTTGCAGAGAGAGATAAATGTCTTTTCTCAACAATAGGACACTCCTGGCCTGATTCAGGCTAGCTTGGGTTGGGTCATGCATGTGGTTATTCTAGAACTGAGCTTTATCATCAAGAGAATAGGACCTGCTGATGGACTTTGGTTAGTAGAACTCACTGAGGATGGGTCAGCCTCACCCAGAGCCATGTGAGAGTTTGGGATGAGGTGGTTCATCAGAAGAATTTTTAGTTGCTTTTTTGTTTGTTTTGTTAATGAAAAGCTGAATCAAGTGTTGGATGGCAAAATAGTTTATAACCACTATAACACTAGCATATATCTCAGAATTTTTATTCTTGATAATAATAGCTAAAAAAATTTATTGAATACTTAACTCTGTATATGCCAGATAGAATAAATAAAAAACTTTGGGCAAAAAATAAGACTATGATAAATTTTAGGCCTGAGTTGTTGTGTTCCTAAGGAACTTTATACATTTTTGAAAAATTGATGTGATCGTTTTTCCTAATTTGGGGGATCCCATTATCTTTAAGGACTACTAGTATGTGGGACCTCCGCAGTTTTTTGAACCTAGAACTTTTCTCTCTGTTATTATCTAATACCTGTTGTTACTATATAGTGAGCATTATTTATTTAACTGAAGCCTTCTAACTCCTAACTCCTACACACAATTTTAGGTTTCCAGTTGTATAAAACAAGTTAGTATCCCAGGCAAGTGCTGTTAACTTAAAAAAACCAAACAGATATAAGTTGCCTGACCCGAATGACTGATCTTTTGCATGCCCATCATTGTGTCGCATAGCTCCAACTGGTCCTGAGTGTGGTGTGTTTACAATGGCCGATTTCTTTTTGCTCTTAGGAAACAAAAGGTGAATCATTTCTTTGCTAGTGTTTAGATGACACAAATCACCAAATATGTATTTGGTGTGCCCATTATAATTGTTATTAAGGTCAGTTTCTAATGTTGATTGAGTGTAGACAATTTGAGAGAGTGCTTTTAAGTATTTTCAAGGAGTGATGTGTTTATAAAATAGTTCAAATTATTAGACTTATAAATGAAGAATGGTTTTTTTTTTCCATTTGCTCTATTAAAAACCAGAACCTCTTAGTTTTATAGAAAAATATAATAAAAAGAAAGCCATTGGTGGCGGAATAATGGCAGTTTCTCTCTCTCTCTCATTCTTTCCCACAGTGATCCTGGTGGAGGTATTGAAATGTCTGAGTTCATTCGAGAGGCCACACCACCAGTTGGTTGCAGTTCAAGAAATTCTTATGCTGGCCTAGACCCAAGTAACCAGGTAGAAACCTGTGTGATTTTATTTTGCTTTTTTCCCTATTCCTGATGGTGGTCTCAGAAGTTCTCCTGTCCGGAATAGTCATTGGTGTTTATCTTGCTGATTAACAATTTTTTGATTATTTATTAATATCTTTTATTGATATTCTTATTTTTAACTGAATTTTCACAGTACATTTTTTTTTTTTGCTGAGCATACAGTTTAATCAACAGTTAAATATATTGCAAAGTTCATTTTTATTGGCTATCTCAAGAATTTATTAGTTTTAACATGTTTATGTATGCATATTTTTACTTATTATTCACTGCCAATAACTTTTATATAGTATACATACCTTAGAAGATTTTTACACACACACACACACACACACACACACACACACACACACAAACAAAACCACAAAAAAACCCAACACACATATATACAGTATATATTTAATTGTCATTCAGATGAAGAAAGTCCCTCATGCTCCTTCACAGTTCGTATTAACTTATATTTTGAGCTAATTTTTTATTGTATACTTCTGTTCAATTGAATCAATGAAAGAAAGGATTTAGTAAAATACAAAATATTATTTGAATGTTTTTTTTTAAATTTATTTTTAAAAAAATCTTTATTGTTCATATTATTACAGATGTTCCTCTTCCCCCTCCCCCCCACCCCCCGTTGCTCCTCTCCACCAGGTTCCCACCCCACCTTCTGCCCTTACTCCACCCATCATTGTCCTCATCCATAGGTGCACAGTTTATGTTCAGTCTCTTCCCACATCCCCATCTCCCCTTTTCCCCAAGAATCGTCAGTTCACTCCCCTTCCATACCTCTGATTCTATTATATTCACCAGTTAATATTGTTCATCAGATTTAAAAAATTTTTTTTTGGTTTTTAGATTCACTTGTTGATAGTTACATATTTGTTGTTCATAGTTTTTATCTTTATTTACTTTCTCTTCCAAAAGAACTCCCTTCTGCAATTCATGTAATTCTGGTTTGGTGGTGATGAACTTCTTTAGCTTTTTTTTATTGGTGAAGCTCTTTATCTGGCCTTCGATTCCAAGTGATAGCTTTGCTGGGTAGATTATTTTTGGCTGTAGGTTCTTACTATTCATCACCTTGAATATTTCTTGCCATTCCCGTCTGGCCTGCATGGTTTCTGTTGAGAAATCAGCTGACAATCGTATAGGTGCTCCTTTAGAGATAACTACCTGCTTTGCTCTTGCTGCTTTTAATATTCTCTCTTTGTCTTTTGCTCTTGGAATTTTAATTATGATGTGTCTTGGTGTGGTCTTCTTTGGGTTCCTTTTGTTTGGGTTCTATATGCTTCCTGGACTTGTAAGTCTAATTCTTTCACCAGATGGGGGAAGTTTTCTGTCACTATTTCTTTCAGTATGTTTTCAATATCTTGCTCTCTCTCCTCTTCTGGGACCCCCATAATTCTGATGTTGGTTCGCTTGAAGTTGTCCCAGAGTTTTTTTACATTATCTTCAATTTTCTGGATTCTCTTGTCTTCTTGCTTCTGCGGAGGAGTGTCTTCTGGCTCTTTTTTTTTTTTTTTAAATATATTTTTTGATTTTGTAGAGAGAGGAAGGAAGAGAGATAGAGAGCCAGAAACATCGATGAGAGAGAGAATCATCGATCAGCTACTTCTTACACACCCCCTAATGGGGATATGCCCGCAACCAAGGTACATGCCCTTGACCGGAATCGAACCCGGGTCCCTTCAGTCCCCAAGCCGACACTCTATCCATTGAGCCAAACCGGTTTCAGCCTGTCTTCTGGCTCTTTATGTTCCAAATCTTTGACTTGATTCTTGAGATCTTCCATTCTGTTTTTAGGACTCTGTATAATATTTTTTATTTCAGACAATGTATTCTTTATTTATTATTGATCCCTTATTATTTCTAGTTGATCTCTTTTTATATCCTCATAGGTCTTGTTTATTTTATCGCCTTTTCTAGGAGATTCTTGAACAACCTTATAAGTGTGGTTTTGAACTCTATATCCATTTGTCCTCCATTTCCTTTGTTTGTGATCTATTTTGTTGTCTCGGCATTTTCGCAGTTTCCCTGATGGGGCGGAGTTTCAGGGTGGAGCCTACAGCCTTGGCTTCCGTCATCCACGTCCTGTGCGGCTCCTGAGTCTCAGTATTCCTCAGGGTCCTTCAGTACTAGTTGCAAGCACCTCTGAGAGTGAGGTGTCCTCGATTTTTGCCTGCTACCAAACAATCTAGTCTCTCCCCCCAATGGGCGCTGGGGTTCAGTTCAGTTGGAAGTGGAGTTGGAGGTGGCATTCAGAGCAGTCTGGAGCTCCTATCTCCTTCCCGCCAGGGCAATCCTGCGGCACAGCCAACCATCCCTTCTCTGCACGCAATGTGCGCGCCTCCGGGGGCTCTGCCTTTCGCTGCTCCCCCGGGGTTCCGCCTTACAGCCCAGTTTCCTCTGATGAGCTTGGGTCCTCGGGGTCTGGCCTAGAACTGGGGTTCAGAGCAGTCGGAACTGGGGTTCAGCACAATCCGGAGCTTTTGTCTCCTTCCCGCTAGGGAACGCCAGCCAGGCACTCAGCCTCCCCCTCCTCTCCGGCTCTGTCCTCTCCACACGTCCCGCGCGTCTCCGTGACCTTAGGCTTTTCCAGCTCCTCCGCTCTTCCTTCTGCTTTTCTCCTTGCTTCTTGTTGTAGAATTTCCAGTCAGTCGACTTTCCTGTAGTTCTGGGTAATGTCCATTTTATATTTTAGTTATATTTTATTGAAATTGTTGTGTGTGGCTGCGGCTAGGTGTTTACCTGTGCAGCCATCTTGGATCCTCCCCTATTTGAATGTTTTTAATTTTGTATTTTACTAAATCCTAATGGAAGGATTTAGTAAAATACAAAATATTATTTGAATGTTTTTAATTTTATTCAAAATTTGTGCAGTGTGTGTGTGTGTGTGTGTGTGTGTGTGTGTGTGTCCGTCCGTCCCTCGGCCCAGTCTGTACCCTCTCCATTCTGGGGCATCCCTCTCACAATCCAGGACTGCTGGCTCCCAATCGCTTGCCTGCCTGCCTGCCTGATTTTCCCTAACCGCTTCTGCCTGCCAGCCTAATTACCCCCTAACCCTTCCTCTGCCAGCCTTATCTGCTCTTTTGCCAGCCTGATTGCCCCCAACTGCCCTCCCCTGCTGGCCTAGTTGCCCCTAACTGCCCTCCCCTACTTGCCTGGTCACTCCTAACTGCCTTGCCCTGCTGGCCAGGTCACCCCTAACTGCTTTCCCCTGCCGCCATCTTGTGTCCACATGGGGGAAGCCATCTTGTGTGTTGGAGTGATGGTCAATTTGCATATTACCTCTTTATTAGATAAGATGTTAAATTTGCTTGAGTATTTTCTTCTTGACTCCCTTGAGAACAGATTATAGAAAGAGTTACTGAGACTTATTGATTTAGTAATTGTCATGTTGTTATAGTTTATTTCCTTAAGATGTTTATAGAATTTATTTGTTTACATAATTTTTATAGTAATATAATAAATGATGGTTGTGAAATTTTAGGGAAGTGTTATACCATCTTTAATATAAGCCTAAATTTCAGTAGATTTTAGTTTTCTATTTGTGCTATAGTTTATGTTAAAAATTCATTTTTCATAGATGTCTTAATTTTTGATTCTTTTTAAATAAGTTAGAGCAATATACTAAAAAGTACTTACTTTTTTTCTGGAACTGAGGAAAGTACATATTGATTTAACAGTTGACAGTTGAAGATTTAGATTGCTGTTTTTGGGATATATTGTTTTGTCCTCTAAATCTTCCCTTTATATATCCTAATCAGTCTGAATTTATTTCACATAGACTCACTACCTAATTTTGCTTTTGTTTATAACATGAACATTTCATGATGCAATATAAAAAATTATAATTGGCCCTGGTTGGCGTGTCTTAGTGGTTAGAGCATTGGCCTATGCACTGGAAGGTCTTGAACCCCAGTCAAAGGCACATACCTTGGTTGCAGGTTCAATTCCTACCCCAGGTCAGGGCTCATGTTGGAGGCAACCAATCTGTGTTTCTCCCTCACATCCATGTTTCTCTCTCCCTCTCTCTCCTTTCTCCTTTCTTTTCACTCTCTCAAAAAAATTAATGGAAAAATATCCTGACTTCTTAGGTGAGGATTTTTTAATAAAGATAGTTATATGGCATAGATTGCTTGAGGTTGGAAGCATCCTACCCTGGGGTGGTTCCATGATCCTGAGCATACAGAGGGACTTAGGGATTCATTGTCCCAGCACGCCTGTAATGTACACACAGTATGTGCTACAGCAAACAGACCTGTGACTCTGATGTAAAATGCCTAAATGGTATCTTTTAATATTGATAAAAGTGGTTGATTATATGTTTTGATAATAACTTTGTTTGATGATCTTATTAGTATATATTGATAATGACATAGAACTAGCATTTTAATTAGTTTTACTTGCTTCATGCCATTTTTCAGATTGGATCTGGTTCCTCTCGTCTTGGAACAGCAACAACTATTAAAGGTAGACATGACCTAACTTGAAAGTTGTCTCTGATTTTCCATTTTATTTTTGGTTGTAATAAAGATAACTGAGCATTTTATATTCACATGTAATAAAAATTATTCTTGAAATTATTTTATAGATAAAATTATAGTAAGGGTTACTTGATTTAAATTGTGTTCCCTTTTCATCATTCAAATTTCACAAAAGTATTTGACCATTTGCATTACATTGCATTAATTGTAAATTTTGTTCTATTAAACTTCCTTGCCTTGAGGGAAAATACTTTTTTGGGTTTTAGTGAGGTTCATGGAAAACAGAGTAATTTAATGTGAAACATTTAAATTGGGTGCAATAAGAAAGGGAAAATGTTTTTCTATATATTTGATAATATGCCTTTTATTTTATATATTTATTAGAGGCCCGGTGCACGAGATCTGTGCACTGAGGCAGGGGGAGGGGGATTTTTCTCAGCCCAGCCTGCACCCTCTCACAGTCTGGAACCCATCACTTCTTATCACCTGCCTGCAGCAGATGCAGGAGAGGCTTCTGCCACTGTTGCTGCACACTCTTGCTGTGAGCCCAGCTTCTGGCTGAGCAGTGCTCCCCTTGTGGGAGCGCACTGACCACCAGGGGACAGCTCCTGCATTGAGCGTCTGCCCCCTGGTGGTCAGTGCATGTCATAGTGACTGGTCATTTCAATGTTTGGTTGATTTGCATATTAGGCTTTTATTATATAGGATTTTAAATAAATTTATTTTAATCTTACAATTTTTTAGCTTACTAATTTGCTCTGGGAAATTTATGTTGTTTCCAGTTCAATTTTCATTTTAAAAAAATCAAAATTGCTTCTTTTTAAAGAAATAGTTTTATTAACTAACAGTATAAAGCTTTTCATATTATTTGGTTTTTAGTGCTATTAGAATAATTATGAGGTCTAAAAGTCTACTTCTTTTGTAGCTAGAGAATACTGACACATCATATAGTAAACTAGTATAGTAGATATCTATTTTACTCCTTGATGTCCTTCCTTGTTATGCCAATGTACAGTCGTTATTTTTAATATAATAACTTCACATGTTTCTCTCAACTTTGTAGGAGATACAGACACTGCTAAGACTTCTGATGACATCAGTTTAAGTCTGGGCCAGAGCTCTAGTCTTTGTAAGGAAGGAAGTGAAGAACAAGGTAAGAACATTATATCTCACAGTGACATATATTGTGTGGATCAGGGTGAGTTTGTAGAATATATTGTTCACATTTTGGCAGGACTTTATAATAATTTAATAATTGTTTTTAAAAGAAACTTTAAAAGAAAATTATTTAATAGGATAATAAAACAGAGTGCTGTAAGTACTTTTAGCTTTCTGGAATTCAGATAAACATGTTCTGCCAACTAAACATGAAGAGACAAGTTTTATGAGCATATGCCATAGAGGGAATATGAGATGGGAGATGAGAATCTGCTATTCCTTTAGTTGGTCAGAGCATCTTGCCTAGCTTAATGATAACCTAGTATATAAAACTGTTATTTTTCCATTCAGTGTGACCTCTAAATGCCAGCTGCTTCATATCTTGTTCAGCAATATATTTTAATGGAGAAATAACTTGCTGTTGGAGTTTCTGAGAAATTATATTTGCCTCCAGCACAGTGCCTGCCTCTTCTAGCATATTTTTAATAGAAATTTGGGCTTCAAGTGATTTTTTTTTTCCCCTTCTAATTCAACTCAATTATAAATGAATATTTTGGAATTTGGAGTCTTTTTTTTTTTTTTTTTTTAAAGAACTGCCACATTTTTATGTTTGATTTTTAATTTTCAAACATGAAAAGATGGATGTGTCATCCTGAATTTTAAGTGGAGATTATCCCAGATTATAATCGGTGAGAAAGAAAATTGCCTATTTCTAGCCTGTTGTTATTAGCCTGGCGGGGTGGGGGTAGGTAGACAGGCTGATATTTATTTATGAAACTTATTTATGAAATTACAAATAGATCACGAAGTTATGACATTTTCCCATTGATACAGGTCCAGTTCCTACAACAATATTTTGCTTCTGGTACTTGGAATTTTAAGTTTATCACTGTAATCCTGCTGTTTTAGAATTATAGTACCACATCATTATTTATTTGTTTTTGTGGGCTACCCCTGCTAATTACTCCTCCCTGCCAAAAAATACTTATGAACTTACTGTATTATGTAGAGACTATTTTCTCAAAAAGTAAAGGTGAATTGATCCTTTTGAGAATTATAGTATCCCTTTTTATAATATTTAATTACCAGAATGTCTCAAAAACTAGGTATCATACAAGGGCTAGTGCATTTAGGGGTCTTATGTCTTTTTATTTTCTATCTGGGAAGAAGGAATTTTATAGTGGGGCAGCTTAGGAGTTATATACACACAAACATACCCTTGCAGATATATAATGACTAAAATAATGATGTCTAACATTCACTAACATGTTGTTATCTAGATTAGGGGGTCAGTAAACTTTGTTTATAAATGGTCAGATCGTTTTGTATGTTACATGGTCTCTCTTGTAACTACTGAATTCTGCATTGTAATGAAAGAGGACATAAATAGCACATAAATTAGTGGGCATGGCTGTATCACTGACTCCATAGGCTTTCGTTTGTTAACCCCCGGTTTAGGTTTTCTTTTCAGCCATTATCAGGTATGGGGAACATCTGGCCCAAGGTCCAGATAAGGCCCAAGAGATCATTTGGTCTGGTCCTGCCAAGCATTAGGGGTGAGTTAATTAAATATTCAACCAAATAGTAAGCTAATTTTTAAGTTGTTAATTTGTATGGCCCGTGAATGATGTTATAAGTATCTAAATGGCCCTTGGCAGCAAAAAGTTCCCAAGTTCTGTTTTATACACATTCATTCAGTTCATCTTTAAGCATTTAATGTTAATACTTTCATTCTCACTGGACAGATGGACACATCATGGCTTAGAGAGGTTACAAGAAACTTGCAACAAAATCACACAGCTACGAAGTGGCAATCTAGTTTTGAATTATGTTTTTAATGCTATACTATTCTATTTTCATGTAGGTTTATCACTTCCTTTTATCAAATACATTTTCCCACATAGTTCAAATATAACAGATATCTAGTATTTATTATGTACTCAGTACTAATTTAAGTACTGGGAATAAATCACAGTACTGGGAGAGGAGGGAGAAGGAGGATGAGATAGGGAGTTCAGTTTTAGGTATATCAGGTATGAGATGCTGTTAGACCTCTAAGCAGCAATAATCCTATATAATAAAAGACTAATATGTAAATTGACCAAATGGCGGAACAACCAGTTGCTATGATGCGTACTGATCACCAGGAGGCAGATGCTCAATGTAGGAGCTGCCCCCTGGTGGCCAGTGCACTCCCACAGGGGGAGCACCGCTCAGCCAGAAGCTGGGCTCATGGCTGGCAAGTGCAGTGGCCGTGGCCAGAGCCTCTCCCGCCTCTGTGGCAGCACTAAGGATGTCCAACTGCTAGATGGCACAGGCAAGGCTGAGGGACCGCCCTCCCCCTAAGGGTATGAATTTTGTGTGCCAGGCCTCTAGTTAATAGATAATCAGATAGGTCTGGATAGCAGGTAAGAAGTCTGGGTTCAGGTTGTGAATTTGGGGAGTTTTCAGTGTATAAATACCAAAAAGTTTCATCATGTCAACTGTAAGGTTGTGTTATTATGAAGTTCATAACAAAGCAAGCCTGCATGGTTGGCTAGCTTGGAGTTAGGTGGCCTGGCTCCCTGTTCTAAATCTGTTAGTCTTGGCTATGATTTGGCACCACCTAGTGGCAATTATTCATTCTGGCTTAAGTATCAGTTGAGGCTCTTCAATTTCTCTGGGTGGTTTGGATTTCCAGGACATTGACCTTTCGTGGGTTAGTTGATTGGCTGGCACTTGTTTTATCAGCGTGGTTCAGGGTAATTAGGAGAAAACTGAGCATGTGGGAAGGTGCACTCTTCTTTTTTATGTCTAAGGAGAGATTGCCCTCTCCAGCCTCAGTCACGTCTTCCCGACTCAAGATCAGAACTTTATTTAGCCAATCCCCGTAAGAGAAGGGGGCTGGGTAGAAGAACTAGTTACAGGTATTTCTGAATTTTATTATCCTGGGGCCAGAAAAATGAACGAATTTTCTATAGAAAAAAGAGATTACGGATAGAAAAATGAAAGTTCTGAGGATTGAGCTCTGAACCACTTCAGCTTAGTAAGTCCAGGAAGCTGAGCATAACAACTGGTGAGGTATAATAGAAGGAAAACCTGCAGTGTTGTGTCCAGTGTGGCTGGGGAAGGGATCGTGATCAGCTTTGTCAAATGTTGCTAATAAGCAGCTGAGACTTGACCTTTGGATTTAACAGTGTTGGCGACTTTGATAAGCATCTTAATGAGTGGGATTGGAATACACGTAAGAGAGAATTAGAGGAGAAGAAATTGAAAACAGCTAATATAGACCTCTCTTTTGTAAAGGGGATCAGAAATACTAGGTGCTAGAGGGTGATTGAGGATAAAGGGAAGATTTGGATTTTGTAAGAATAGGTAGGAGAAATAATAGCTCGGTGTGTGTTTTTATAATTGACTAGGGGCCCAGTGCACGAAATTTGTGCATGGGGGGGGGGGTCCTCAGCCCAGCTTGCCCCCTCTGACAGACTGGGAGCCCTCAGGGAATGTCCTACTGATGGCCCATGGGAGCGGGCCTAAGCTGAAGTCTGGCCTCCCTCTGCGGGAGGTGACTGGTCTGATCAGGGGAAGGTGCCAGCCCCATCACCCCACTGCTGCTGCCACTGCTGGCTACCACAGCCATCAAGGTGTTTTCATCAACATGGACGCCAGTCCCTTCACCACGAAAAAATAACTTTCTTAAGGCATTTTCAAGATGTGTCTTTCATAGGATATGACATTTCTTCCTTCCTTTCTTTTTTTTTCATCCACACCTGAGGATATGTTTTCATTGATTTTTAGAGAGTTTGGAAGAGAGAGGGAAAGACAAAGAAAGATCAGTGTGAGAGGGACACTTGGATTGGTTGACTCCTGCATGAGCTCTGACCTGGGCCCTGGCCAGGGAGAAGCCTGAAACCGAGGTACATGTCCTTGATCAGAATCAAACCCAGACCCTGTGGTCAGCGGGCCGAGGCTCTATCTACTGAGCCACATTGGTTAGGGTAGAATATGACATTTCTTAGCCCCTCCAGCAGCGGACTTTCATTTTTTCCTTCAGAAGTGAAGTGGAAAACCCTAGATTACCTTCTTGGATTCTTATTATCCAAGTTACCAAGAACACTGTGAGTGGTGATGGGCAGGGAGCTTAGCCAATGAGCGGTCAGAAAGCTCACGCGCAGAGGCCCCCCTGTGTTGTGTCCGCTAAGGGGGGGGTGTGCTCCAAGCCATATGGCAGCCAATGGGAGTATGCCCTCAGCCCTGCGTTGTGTCTGCTGGGCTGGGGTGTGCTGCCTGCCCAGACACCCTCCCTTCTGAGGCCGAGGCATGGGAAGCTGGCCTTGTCGCCGGGGCGATGACACCAGCATCCCGCCCAGGCTGCTATGGGCACTGCCAGCTTTGTAATGGAGTGACAGTTAGTTTGCATATTATCCTTTTATTACATTAAATGGGATGATCCAGAAGAGAGAAAGAGAATGTGATTTTTGTTTATAAAAGTAATATGTGGTAATTAAAAAAAATAGTTATGTGTGAAGAAGAAAATAATTCATACTTCTGCCACTGAGCTGTTAATATTTTTTGATGTATCACTTTTTTCTTCTTATTTTTTTATGGTGATATAATCCACATACTGTAAAATTTACCCTTTTAAAGTATAAAATTTAGTGGGTGTTAGTATATTTGCAAGGTTGTGTACCTATCACCACTATCTGATACCAGAATATTTTCATTATGTTATAAAGAAACCCAAACCCATTATATTTCGCCAATTTGGTTACACCAATTTTTACCACTCTGAGCAGAATATGAGCATGTCTTTCTTACCCCACTAGTATCAATCATTGAGAAAAAATTAATTATATGAAAAATAGTATCTTTTTGTATTGACTTAAACCTGTCTTTGACTATATTCCTACCAATAAAAAAATGTCTAAGAAAGCATATTTACTAAAAAGGTTCCTAAAACCATCTAAAGTTAAACTTTTTATGGTTTATTTAGTTTGCAATGTTGTATGAGCTAAAGTAAGTTTGACTGTCTTTTAAAATGAAAAACTTAAATTTCTGCTTTATTAATGTCTTAGAAGGTAGTTGGTTTTGATTATTAGCATTTTAAAAAAAGTCTTTTGTTGTATATTAGAACTAGAAATTTTTAGCTACTTGATTTATCAAGAATTTACTCATTTATTCATTGATAATCATGTCATCATCTTCTGGAACATCATCATAACCATCCAATTCCTGAATTTCCTGGTGAATTTCTTGTGACTCCACTTCTTTCAGAATCAGTGGACCAAATCTCTCATGTTTAGCCTGGGGGGGGGGGGCGCTTATTTTCAGGGGGATGCCTTATATTTTACTCTGAAGGAAACCTGTAAGTACGTCTTATTTTCGGAGGAAACATGTTAGAGATTCTGAAGTTTTTGATTATTCAGATGTAATCTAGATTTAAAAATTTTTAAAGTACATAAACATTTCTAACAATTTATTCTTTTTTTATATATATATTTTATTGATTTTTTACAGAGAGGAGGAGAGAGGGATAGAGAGCTAGAAACGTAGATGAGAGAGAAACATCGATCAGCTGCCTCTTGCACACCCCCTACCGGGGATGCACCCACAACCAGTGTACATGCCCTTGACCGGAATTGAACCCGGGACCTTTCAGTCCACAGACTGACGCTCTACCACTGAGCCAAACCGGTTTTGGCTAACAATTTATTCTTATTATATATGAATCTTAGGGGAAATTTTTGTGCTTTTATTGTTAAGATTCCACTGGAAGCAGTTGACTTACTAAAGAATCTATTATTATTGTTTGTCAATGCAGTTATGACACATAAGAGTAATTTTTCTTTTTATTAAACTAACAGAGACTCAACCATTTTTGTCTTGTCAAGAGTGTATTGAAGCCCTAACTGGTTTGGCTCAGTGGATAGAGCGTCGGCCTACTGACTGAAGGGTTCCAGGTTCAATTCCAGTCAAGGGCATGTGCCTTGGTTGCTGGCACATCCCCAGTATGTGCAGGAGGCAGCTGATTGATGTTTCTTTCTCATCAATGTTTCTGACTCTCTATTCCTCTTCCTTCCTCTCTGTAAAAAAATCAATAAAATATATATTTTTAAAAGTTTATTAAAAATTAGCTATTGTGCAGTTTGGTTGTCAAGCCATATTTCAATATAAATTACAATGTAGGTAGGTAGATGGATTTATTTATATTTGCATATATAATATATATGGTAACTTAAGTCACTATTCACTAATCACTTCCTTAATAAATGAAGGGTTAAAGGAATAGTCTCACAAGGGGATATATATTTTTCATGAGGCATTTTGTAATTGTTGCATCAATGATGAAGCAAGGAATTACAGGATTTTGCCTCATAATTGTTTTAATTTTTCAATAATTATGAACATCAACATATCTTCTTTTTTTTTCCTTTTTCCTTGGCTGTTTTTTTTGTGTTTTTTGTTTTTGTTTTGTTTTTTGTTTTTAATCTATATTTCCTTATTGATTTCAGAGAGGAAGAGAGAGGGAGCGAGAGATATAAACATCAATGATGAGAGAGAACCACCAATCGGCTGCCTCTGCATGCCCTGTATGGGGATCAAGCCCATAACCCGGGTATGTGTCCTTGGCCGGAATGGAACTTGGGACCCTTCAGTCTGAAGGCTGATGCTCTACCCACTGAGCAAAACTGACTAGGGCAAGATATCTTCTTATATCTAGTTTGGCATTGATCAGCCTTTTGATTTTTTTTTTTTTCCTGTTTCTTTTGACTAGGTTTTCATTGATTTGTTTTTTTAATCATTAGTTTTTATTTTATTTATTTATTTAATATATTTTATTGATTTTTTAAAGAGAGGAAGACAGAGGGATAGAGAGTTAGAAACATCGATGAGAGAGAATCATTGATCAGGTGCCTCTTGCACTGATGTGCTCGCAACCAAGGTACATGCCCTTGACTGGAATCGAATCCACAGGCCGACGCTCTATCCACTGAGCCAAACCGGTTTCGGCTAATCATTAGTTTTTAAAAAATATTTTTGTATTATGTTAATGAGATAAAATGATAGCTACTGTTAATTGAGTCAGACACTGTGCTAAGCAATGTATGTCATATCTCAGTTATTCATTGTTACTGCTGGGTAAGATTGACATTGCATTTTACAAGTGAGAAAGCAGAGGCTAAGAGAGGTAATCCAGGGTTATCCAGTTAGTAAGTTAGAGACAGGACTCACATAAACATCTTGGTCCATTTTAAATATAGTATTTTGTTGCCTCTTATTTAAAACAAAAGTATATATACTTAATGATTTCAAAGAGGAAGGGAGAGCGAAAGAGAGAGAAATATCAATCATGAAAAAAAAATTATTGATTAACTGCCTTCTGCATGTCCCCCATTGAGGATCAAGCCCACAACCCAGGCGTGTGCCCTGACTAAGAATCCAATTGTAACCTCTTGGTTTGTAGGTTGATGCTCAACCACTGAACCACATGGACCGGCTGTTGCCTCTTAGATTTTGTTGATAATTTATAGAATCTTTTCTGAGGATATTAGTTCATTTCATTATAGAATGCTTTCTTTGTGCAGCTATGAAACAGAAACCATCTCTGTGGAATGACTGGCCAATTGTTAGTGAATTACTTGAGAAATTGCTTATACTTGATTAACTGTATGCTGTGAATTCTTTCCATTGTTACACAGTAGAAAAGTAGATTATGAATTTGTGTTAACATTTCTAAATGTGTTTGAAACAGATTTGGCAACTGATCGGAAGCTCCTCCGTCTGGTCTCCAATGATTCCTTCATCTCCATTCAGCCTTCCTTATCCTCGTGTGGACAGGACTTGCCAAGGGACTGCAGCGACAAAGCGAGCCTGCCAAGTCACAGCCACCACCACGTCGATCAGTCTCTGTCTAGCGCCTGTGACACGGAAGTAGCTTCTCTCGTCCCTTTACATTCACACTCTTACAGGAAAGACCACCGGCCACGAGGTGTACCACGGACCTCTAGCTCTGCCGTGGCTTTTCCAGATACTTCACTGAATGACTTCCCTCTGTATCAGCAAAGACGTGGGTTAGATCCAGTGAGTGAGTTAGAATCTTCCAAACCTCATTCTGGATCCAAAGAATCCTTGGTGGAAAATTCTCGTTTATCTGGGGAATTTCAGCTTGTTGGTGAGCTGAAAAACAGTCATTCTCAGCCACCTACAAAAAGTGGGAAGAGCAAACCTTTGAAAGCAGACAAAAGCATGGACAGCTTGAGGAGCCTGAGCACACGGAGCAGTGGGTCCACGGAGAGCTACTGCAGTGGAACGGACCGTGACACCAACAGCACTGTCAGCAGCTATAAAAGCGAACAGACTAGCTCCACTCACATAGAGAGCCTCTTGTCAGAGCACGAGGAGTCTCCTCAAGCGGGAAAGAAAAGTGGGAGGAGGAAAGAACGCTGTGCTGAACCGGAGGATAAGAGTAGCTGTTCCAGTGACAAAAGGACTAGCAGTGAAAAGACTGCCTTGGAAGTGAGTACAAACAATGAGGTTCAAGAGGCCAAGGATTTGAATACCTCTGAGGATGTGCACAATCAGAGAGGTCTCAGCCCCTCTGCATCGGAAGAAGCCAATAAAAACCCCCATGCAAATGAGTTCACTTCTCAGGGGGACGGACCCCTGGGGAAAGCTGCCGACACCAAGGAAGAGCAGAGTGATAAGTCTGCTGTCTCAGTGGACTCCAGAGTTGCGAAAGACGGTGGAAAGCAAAAGGAAGGGGATGTAAGACCTAAATCGTCCAGCTTAATCCACCGGACAGCCTCTGCCCATAAGTCAGGCAGGAGGCGGACAGGGAAAAAACGGGCCAGCAGTTTTGATTCAAGTCGGCATAGGGACTATGTTTCCTTTCGAGCTGTTTCTGGTACCAAGCCGCACAGTGCGATATTCTGTCATGATGAGGATTCTAGTGACCAAAGTGACTTGAGCAGAGCATCGAGTGTTCAGTCTGCTCACCAGTTCAGCAGTGATAGCTCTTCTAGCACCACTTCTCATTCGTGTCAATCTCCTGAGGGGAGATACAGTGCTCTCAAGACTAAACATGTCCCTAAAGAAAAGGGCACTGACCCTGAGCACACACACAAAGCTCATTTGGGTCCTGAAGGAACTGGTAAAAAGCGGACAACACGTCGGACTTCTAGCACAAATAGTGCCAAGACTCGGGCCCGAGTGCTGAGTCTGGACAGTAGTACAGTAGCATGTTTGAATGACTCCAATAGGCTAATGGCACCTGAAAGTATAAAACCCTTAACCACTTCCAAATCAGACCTCGAGGCCAAAGAAGGAGAGGTGCTAGATGAGCTGTCTTTGTTGGGACGGGCTTCCCAGTTAGAGACAGTCACTCGATCTAGGAATAGCTTGCCAAGCCAAGTTGCATTTCCTGAAGGTGAAGAACAAGATGCAGTCAGTGGAGGTAAGTAAATTACAGGAAGAGATTTTCCAAGAGTCAATGCAGTTATTGGTACTGTTGAAATGTACTTTGTGTTAATATCTCCCCTTCTACTATGTTACTGAAATAGACTTTCTTCTTGAAGAAGGAGGTGGTTATCTTAGAAAAGGTTTTGGTATGAACATCAAGAAAGTATTTTTGAGTTGCATTCTTTGAATATATTAATTTGTTCTTGATGGCATTTACGGTTTCCAGGCCAGCTGCCACCTGTTAATATTTTATTAGGAATAATAAAAATTGGTCCTCTTCCTTCTTTGTGTAACAATAGCAACAACAAAATGTAGAATTTCATTAGGGCACCAAACTGTTTTTAGTTATTTCTTATATATTGTAAACTGTTTGCCACTGAACTTAAATCATATAACCGGTTAGTGTAAGTTTTCCCCCAAACATTACTTTAGCTCTGACTATGTACTTTGAAACCTTGTACCTCCTTTAATGTCTATCTTTTTGGTTTTATTATTCCATACTCACGTTTTAAGCATTAAGAACTTTTTTTCTGTAACTTTATACTTTTCTTATAGTTTCAGTTGATATTTGTAATTTATATTGGCCTTTAGTGTCTATTAATGGTATATGATGCTCCCTGTGGTTAGCAGTGATAGTGTTTTGGTTAAAATAATAGCTTATTTCAGATTTATGGGAAATTGTGCAGAATGTGATAGATGATTTTATATTACAGTATATTTTGGTCATTTTGTTTATTTAAGAGTTGTTTCTTGCTGTTTCCTCCTGCCCAGAATAGTTTGTTTATTCTGTTCTGGTTATTATGGAGTCTGGTCCTTGACTAGAATGAGAAGAAAGAAATCTTCTGTTGCCAGCACTGTAACTTCTTTAATCCCCACCCCCATCCTTCTTATTCACATCTTTAGTTTTAAAGCTTGTGGTCTGTTGGTATAATAACATTCTGTCTCTTATTAAAAGGTATGCTCAATTTTTTGTTGGTACAAGCATTCTGAAATATAAGGACATACTATTTCTCTCAAAGAATTCTAATTTCACCCAGAGTACTTAAAAAGTCCATATTGTGGTAAACATCCTGTTGTTTCTTTTGGTATATTATCTAACAAAGATGAATTTCTAATAAGAACGTAAAAAGAATGATCGTTAATAACTAAGGAAGAAAATAGTACATCAAACTAAATATTGAGAACTGATTATATTTGAAGTATTTATAACCATGCCTCGGGTATCTGACATGGATTGATTTCATTCTGTTTTTTGTAAAAGGTCTGACTTGTTTTCAGTGATTTCTTACACAGATCATATTAGATGTGTTCATGACATGCAAGAAACCATGAGTTTTAAAATATAGCTTAATTTTTAAAGTTGTCATTAAAATTTTAAGAATGAACAAGCTATGAGAGAAAAATATTGCTGTTCTAAATATTATTGAAATATAAATACTAAAAAAAAACATAAAAAAGAGCTATAGTAAATTTTTATGTCTTTGTATTTAAAATATCATTTCTTTTTTTAGAGGGATTGTAAAGTGTTCTGTTTTTTAGGAAAAGTTATATGGAAGATGTTAATTGCTTCTCATTGCAGATCTTTAACTAATATGAACCCTTGTTTTCCCAGATTCCAGCTTTTGCTTTCTTTTGTGTACTTATTTAAAAACAAACAAACAAACAAAAAACTACAAAAAATAATCCATTGATTGTTAGTAAGAAACAAAATACTGAAATAAGAATGTTTTTGCATTTTGGTGGAATAAATGTAATAGTCTGTGGGCTGTTAAAAAACATTGTTTGCCAAAGGAAGGCATTGTAGGGCTTTTTAAAAATTTGAGCTTCACTGTGTTTAGAATAAAAATATGAGCGTAACTAAACTGCTTAAATGTGTTGAGGATTTATATTTAGATGGATTTCATCATATTTTATTGTTTGAACGTCTTGGAAAATTGGAGGTAGTGGGAGGGGTTGTTTTGGTTCTCATTATTTAACAATTATATGGCATCTCAAATACTTGGTAAAAAATTGTTTATTTTCGCATTAATTGTTAACAGTCCTTTCTGACAATTTAGTAGAAAATTTAAAGTAAGTAATCCATAAACTATGTCTTTATGTGAATTATAACTACAGAGTATCATTTAATTTCTTGAAAGCATTTCGTGTACCCAACTATATTTGTTTGCATGCCTGGGATTGTGGAAAATATGTAACTAGTGGCCTCACCCACTGGGGGTGGGGGGCGCTGTTCCTCATCCTGGCCCAGGACCCCTTGGGGGTTGTCCACCTGCTACAGAGGCAGGAAAAGCTCCTGCCAATGCTGCTGCTCTTTCCAGCCACGAGCCCAGCTTCCAGCTGAGCAGCGCTCCGCCTATGGGAGTGCACTGACCACCATGGGGCAGCTCCTGCGTTGAGCATCTGCCCCCTGGTGGTCAGTACACGTCATATGGACTGGTTGTTTCGCTGCTTGGTCAACTTGCATATGTAGGTTTTATTATATAGGCTATGCAAATCCTTTTTAACTCAAGTCACAGCTAATGATTTTGTTGTAATTTGTTGTTAATTTACATGTGAAAAAGAATAGTCGTTTGCAGTGTTTTCACAGATGAATACTCAGCAGCTGGACAGTAGATTCTTGTCGTTCTTTGGCCTCCAAGAAAATGGTGCTTGTAAAACTTTGTTTACATATTAGAACAAAATTTTTGCATGCTTAGCGTCACCTTTTGTAGACAAGGAAAGTAAGAAAGGGAAAAATGTATAGAGAAAATGGCTAAAACTTATCAAATTATTCTGCAAAATCATGTTTATTTTTCATAAAGTAACTTTATTCTTAAGTAATTTTTTTTACTGTGAACGTTTCATAATGTTTTCATATGTTATTTTACTGAGATGTACATATACTTGTTTCATACTTTCATTCTCTTTCTTTAGTGTCTCTTTTTCTACTAACATTTGTTCCTAATCTGTTTGAGGTACCAAAATACATTTTATTTTAGTGGTCTTCCCAAGTTTACTACATTTTTTCTTACAGTAAACATTCCCCATTGAAAGTAATACCTTTTAAAATAGTTTCTTCTGTCTAAATTTTTATTAATTCATTTAATAGCAATTGAGCTATCACAGGAGTCCAGCCATACCAGTATATAACAAGAAAGGATTTACATATGAATCCTTTCACCAAGCAATCAGCTGTATGATTGACATTGTTTTGAAGTGGCATCTTATTCTGAAAATATTGTGATCATAACTTTGCAGTTTTTAAAAAATATATATATTTTATTGATATTTTACAGAGAGGAAGAGAGATTGGGAGAGGGATCAGCTGCCTCTTGCACACTCCCCACCGGGAATGTGCCTGCAACCAATGTACATGCCCTTGACCGGAATCGAACCTGGGACCTTTCAGCCCACAGACCGATGCTTTACCACTGAGCCAAACCGGTTTCGGCAACTTTGCAGTTTTTGAGATAGAATGTGGAAAACCTTCACCTCCTACCTTACTAAATTTTCCTCTTTTATGCATCCAGCCATCCTGAAAGGACTTTAGTGCCTTTTAATGCTTTCCCTGTTTCCCTGTTTTCATTCACAGAGTAAAACACAGTGAGAATCTATTGTTTAATACTCCATATGAAAATAAATAGTTGCAAAATAATTCAATGCAAAATGTGTAGAATTTTCTTTAACTCATTAAGATAAATGGAAGTAACTCCTGAAGTAGAAGGTGTGTATTGTGGCTTTTTCTTCTTTTTCTGTCTTTAGGAATAGGTAGGTCACAGCTGTCTGAAATGATGGAGGATATCAGTGTCTGTGCATGAATCAATGTCTTTAGGAACCCAGTAAATATTTAAACTTAATTGAAAGATTGTATCACTATATCAGAAGTAAAGAGTTAATTATCTGAAGTTTTCTCTTAAACTTACTCTAATGGTAATGCAGTCTCTTAAAGTTTTCTTAACATAAATGATTTGAGCAAGTTGTTAAGACTCTTGTAATTAAAAAGCATGTTAAAAATCACATTATCTAAATATGTGTCCTTAAAAGTATCTCATATGTTTTGTCATTTATGGTCTTTTAATCACTTGATTATTTGTGACTTTTTTTTCTCCCTTTTCTACACATGCATAAAATTTAGTTGTCTCAAGAGTGCTCTATTTTTATAGTTAATTTATTATTATTATTAATTATTATTATTATTAGCCAGGAAATATTGAGTTTTAAGCAATGTCAACATATCCCAACTTCAAAACCTGGTTTTAATTGTTTTCTCTCTTGTGGTCTGCTTTCCTAGTTTAAAGATTTTGTTGTTGTTTTCTTTTATAAAGGTAAAGGATTCAAAAAGTGTGTTGTATTTGGATTGCAGAAGTGAATTTCCATGTAGTTTGGTTATAGTTTATGTGACTGAATATACTATGGCAAATTATTTTAAGCTTTAAAGACACGTTTCTTTCCTGGGCTCTAATAGAACTGGACCCCATTTTAAGTAGAGATGTTCTGTATAAGTAGCACCTTCCCAGGGGCATGGCTTCGTCTTATTTGTTGTAACCACAAATAGCATAGTGTTTTCAGTTGAAAGTGTGATCCTATCTACTGTTAAGGTAATTGCTATAGTAAACTTTGGAAATTCTTTTAGCATTAGATATTTACACACTGACAATTACAGAGGACAATATAGGCATTAACTAAAACTCCATTTCAATACATTGTTCAATGGATGTCTAAACTTACATCTTGATGTGTTACATCTGTGCCCCAACCTGCGGGGCAACAACGAGGGCACGTGGAAACCACCTAAGAGAATGAAGCAAACAAGGAAGGCGAAGAACGGAGGCAAGATAGGGTTCTGATCAAGCCTCAAAATTTTTATTCAAGAACATCGGTGTATAAGCGCTTAGGAGGGGAGGGGAGGGGCAGGAGGAGTTGTCGCAAGGTGATTGGCTGGGTGCTGGGTACTCGTATTTAGCTGGTTGGTTGTTCTAAGCTGGGAGGGTTATAGTCTTGGTTGAGCAAGAGCTC